ACCCTCCCAGTCCAACAGGTACTGGACACCACGACCACGGCGGCGCACGTCAACGATCCGCCGGACCGAATAGGCCGGATGACCGTCCACGAGCCGGGCGGGAGGCGGGGGAACAGACGGCGGACACAGAGGACTGCTACGGACCGGCTTGACCTGAGAGACGTGAAACGTCGGGTGGACGCGCCAGGAGGCCGGGAGCCTGAGACGGACCGCCGAGGGGCCGACGACAGCAGTGATCTCATAGGGGCCAACATAGCGGGGAGCCAACTTCCGAGAAAGCGACCGCAAGGGAATGTCCTTGGCACAAAGCCACACCCGTTGACCAGGCCGATATGCCGGAGCGACAGAGCGGCGACGATCCGCATAATCCCGTTGCCGGTCGACAGTCGCAAGGAGAGCCCGTCGGACCCTCTGCCACACCCGCCGGCAGCGTCGAAGGTGATGCTGGACCGAAGGAACAGCCAAATCCGTCTCATCCTCTGGGAACAACGGTGGCTGATACCCCAGCGAGGCCTCAAAGGGTGACAAACCCGTCGCTGAAGACGTGAGAGAATTATGGGCATACTCCACCCAAGGCAACTGAGACGACCAGGCTGCCGGGTTCAGTGACGAGACGCAGCGAAGAGCGGATTCCAACTCCTGGTTCAAACGCTCAGTCTGGCCATTGGTCTGCGGATGGAAACCAGAACTCAAGTTGACCTTGGCACCCAGGGCCGTACAGAAGGCCCTCCACACTCGGGAGACAAACTGAGGCCCCCTGTCAGACACAATCTCCGAGGGTATGCCATGAAGACGGAACACATGATCCGTAAGGATCTGGGTGGTCTCCGCAGCCGTCGGCAGCTTGTCCAGGGCCACGAAGTGAGCCGCCTTGGAAAACCGATCAACTATGGACAGAACCACCGTCTTCCCCGAAGAGGCTGGGAGGCCGGTAACAAAATCCAAGGCGATATGAGACCAAGGCCTATGCGGGGTACTCAGCGGTCGGAGTAAGCCAGACGGGGGCCGATTAGAGGTCTTGTTACGGGCACAAACGGAACAGGCAGCCACATAAGCCTTCACATCCTTGTCCATAGAACGCCACCAGAAATACCTCTTCAACAGAGCCGTGGTCCTACTCACTCCCGGATGGCAAGTAAACCGGGCTGTATGGATCCAATGGATAACAGCCGACCGGGCGGCAGAGGGCACAAAACGCCGACCGGGCGGGCCAGTTCCCGGATCAACGTCGTCCCGTAATCCTTGGCGTATAGCCTCCTCCACATCCCAGGTGAGGGAGCCGATCCTGCAGGTGGAAGGGAGAATGAGCTCCGGGTCCCGGGAGTCTGAGTCCGAGGAGTACTGGCGAGACAGAGCATCGGGTTTAAGATTCCTGGAACCCGGGCGATAGGAAATATCAAAGTTAAATCGGGCAAAGAAAAGGGACCACCGAGCCTGGCGGGAGTTCAGTCTCTTAGCTGTTCTGAGATAAGTCAGATTCTTATGATCTGTCCAGATGATAAATGGATGTTCCGACCCCTCCAGCCAGTGGCGCCACTCCTCCAAAGCCAACTTAATGGCCAGGAGCTCCCTATCCCCAACGTCATAGTTCTGTTCGGCAGGAGAAAGGCGTCGAGAAAAATAGGCGCAGGGCTGGAGCTTGCCACGAGGACCAGAACGCTGAGACAGCACAGCCCCCACCCCCACACTTGAAGCATCAACCTCCACCACAAACTGCCTACTCGTGTCAGGATGGACCAAAACAGGAGCCGAAGTAAAAAGCCGCTTGAGCGTGACGAAGGCCGAGTGAGCCCCGGGGGACCAAACGAAGGGGACCCGGGAGGAAGTAAGGCGAGTGAGAGGCGCAGCCACCCGACTGTAGTCCCTGACAAAACGCCTGTAGAAATTTGCGAAGCCAAGGAACTGCTGCAGCTGTCTACGCGAACCAGGAACGGGCCACTCCACTACTGCCTTAACTTTTACAGGGTCCGTCTTCACCTGCCCTTCCGCCAGTAGGTAGCCCAGAAACGAGATAGACGAGACATGAAAGTCACACTTCTCGGCCTTCACATAAAGGCGGTTCTCCAACAGTCGCTGCAGCACACTCCGGACATGCACCCGATGCTTCCTACAAGGGACCGAGAAAAAATCAAAATGTCGTCCAGATAAACAAACACAAAAACATTCAAAAAATCCCGGAGCACGTCATTCACTAGTGCCTGGAAGACTGCAGGGGCATTGGTGAGGCCAAACGGCATCACCAGGTATTCAAAATGCCCCAGGGGAGTGTTAAAAGCAGTCTTCCACTCGTCGCCCTCCCGTATGCGGACAAGGTGGTATGCATTCCTCAAGTCCAACTTAGAGAAGACAGTGGCCCCGTGGAGGGGTTCGAAAGCTGAACTGATCAAAGGCAGGGGATACCTGTTCCTAACCGTGATTGCATTAAGGCCCCTATAATCAATGCACGGCCGGAGCGACGCATCCTTTTTAGAAACAAAAAAGAAACCAGCCGCCACCGGTGAGGAAGAAGGACGAATGAGACCGGCCGCCAGCGAATCCCGGACGTACGTCTCCATAGTCCCCCTCTCCGAACGGGACAGGTTATAGAGACGGCTGGAGGGCAGAGGGGCACCCGGGAGGAGATCAATTGCACAGTCATAGGGCCGATGAGGAGGCAGCGACAGAGCCCTGTCTTTGCTGAACACTTCTTGTAGATCATGATATTCAGGAGGGACAGAGGTAAGGTCAGGGGGGGAGACAACCACGGAGGAGAAACAAAAGCCCCCGAGGGCAGCGCTGACTTTAAACAGTTGGCGAGACAAAACAAACTCCAACTCGCTACTTTCTTCCCTGCCCAGTCAATGTGTGGATTGTGCTTCTGCAACCACGGAAAACCAAGGATCACTGGCACGTCCAGGGAAGAGGTGGCAAAGAGAGTTATGTCTTCCTGATGATTACCTGACGTGACTAACTTGACAGGCGCGGTCCGGTGAGTGATCATCGCGAACACCTCATTATTCAGAGCGGCGGCCGGGATCGGAGGCTCGAGCGGAATGAGGGGCAAATTGAACGATTTAGCCACCGCAGCATCTATCAAATTCTGCTCCGACCCGGAGTCAACGAGAGCACGGAGAGAATGAGCCTTAGTACCAGACATCAACGAAACCGAAAGCAAAAAACGGGGTTTATCACTCTTAAAAACACTGCCCACCCGTAACCCCGGACTTACCGGCGGGCCACGCCTTTTGGCCGGACTGGGCAAACAGCGATGCGATGGCCGCTTCCTCCGCAGTAGAAGCACTCTCCGGCTCGGAAACCGCCCGCTCGGGTGAGGCGCCCGTCTCATCTCAGTCTCCGGTGCACATCTTTCGTCTCCTTTAAAACCTGCCACCGACCGACCGCGGGCCATTGCGGCGGCGCGGCGAGGCTTTCCCATAGAGCATTCCGTCGAAGCCGTCCCACGGTGGCCAGGGGAATGATAGGAGATCAGAGACGAGACGGACGGATGATGTCACCGGAAGCGACGGGGGTAACGCCGAAATGGCCGCGGGTCAAAACAGAGACGGAGAGGGTTTGGACCGCCTCTCAGCGTCTCTCTCCCTCAGTCGACTATCGATCCTGAGAGCAAGAGAGGCAAGCGCTTCAAACGTGGCCGGCTCGTCGTGTACAGCCAGCTGATCCTTCAGTTGTTCGGAAAGGGACGCTAGGAAAATACCCCGCAGCGCAGCATCCGGCCAACCCGCTTCAACAGCAGCGGTGCGGAACTCGATCGCATATTCCGCAACGCTGCGTTTTCCCTGGCGGAGTCCCAACAGCCTCTTAGCTGCAGTACCCTCAGAGATCGGGTGAGCGAACGTAGCCTTGAATTCCTTGAGGAAGTCCTCATAGGAACACGAGGCAATAGGATGAGAAAACAAAAACGCCTCAGCCCACGCAAGCGCCTTACCCCTAAGCAACCCAACAAAATGGGAAATCTTGGCAGCATCATAGGAAACGCGTGCGGCGTGCGATTGACGAACAACGACCACTGAAACAGGAACCCTCCACACAGCCCCAGCTCTCCGTGAAAAGGCTCCGGTGGAGGGGAAGAGATGCCCCGATAAGCCGATTCAGGACGCGCAACGGCGGGTGCAGGCAACGGTCCCGGCTGACTAGGGAAAACGGGCGGATTAGGCTCCCTGATTTCTGACAACCGGGTAAGTAACTCCTCCTGTTTTTCACTGATAGCATTACACTGGTCCATTAAGGACGACAAAGTCTGTTCATGCCGTCCTAACACCGCGCCCTGTTTGTTAATGGCGGCGCGAATTGGGTCCGCTGAGTCCATTAGTGGCCAGTTCGTTCTGTCACGAGCGAGAATGCGGTGGACTCAAGAGCAGACTCAATTTGCTTAGAACTGTGTATGATTTATTGAAAAGAACAAAACGTGAACGGAACTGGGTTTAACAGAAACATATGCAGTAACTAAAGGAAATCCGTGGGCGGAGAAACCGGCGTAGAGCACGGGGAGACTTCTAACGGGAACTTCTGTAAACACAGGGGAGAGATGTTACTGAATGGGGAAAATAACGAGTAAGGGAAAAAGGTACGGAGTGCCAGTGAATGGTCTTGGGCTTACTTGGAGACCCTAGTTATTAGACAGGGAAAAGGCTGCCATGGGTGTAATCCAGAGAGGGTCAAGAGTGGAAAGTCCGGTCCAGATTCCGAGGAGGTGGAGCATACAGACTGAAGGGCAGGCTGAGGAGAAGTGGAGTATATAATCCTCGGGTTCCGAGCTGATGGGAGAACAGGATGAAGACCAAAACAGCACTACTGGTGAGTGCGATGGGTGGAGAATCTGAAGAATACAGGAAACAAAAACATATTAACCCAAGGTCCAGACATACAGAGTCAGAGCTCAGAGGAGGCCGAGTTTACCACAGATGGTAGCAGGACGAACTGGCGAGGAGTAGCAGGCCGTGCTGGCTTAAAAACCCTCTAGGTGGAGCCCCGGAGATTGACAACAGGTGATGAGCTGGCCAACTCCACTCCCAGGGACAAATGACAGGAAACTGGACCACGCCCAACCAGACACTCCCACAGCATATGACAGCACACTCCAAAGACGCTAAACGTCACAAATCTCTCACATCTCAAAACTCGCTCTCTCTCTCTTTCTGCTTTCTCTCTCTCTCTCTCTGTCACTCCTAAAACTTCCCTCTGTTTTTTGGTTTGCTCATAAGCAGAGCGTGCTCGCTGCGCTGTCCTTAGACAATAAACATGACGAAACTATTGAGGAAAAAACACTGGATATATATTGTTTATCATGACTCTGGTTTTACGTGGCCTATCAACACAATTTATAAACTGGTATATGTCACCTTGTTGCTTTGTCTTTAAGGGTCATGTGATTGTCTTACCACGACTACTTTATTCTTCCTCAGTCAAACAGCAGCACTCATGCGATTGTTTTGCCCCCTTAGCTCCAGGTTTTATGCTAGACCAGGGGTCAGCAACCCAAGGCAGGGGTTAACAAGGGTTAACTGATGACACGACCATAACTGGACTGGCCATCGGGCATACCGGGCATTTGCTTGGTGGGCCAATGATTTTTTTATTTTATTTTTTGTAACGGTATAAACAATGAAAGGTGGTGGATTGGCCAGATGCTGGCCGATGTGTAAAAATAACTCAGTTGTTTGGTGGTGGCTATGGTCGGAGCTTCACAGTTCAGACATGGAGGCCAGCAGGTGGATGAGGGAAAGGGGAGGCAGGAGGAGCAGAGACCCGAGGCGGCCACCGGTCCGAGTGTCAGGTGAACTGAACTTCAGGTAAGAAGTTATGACCTGCAGTCTATCTGGGTCAGATATAGAACCAAGTTTAGGTGGAGTTTATTTTCGTTGTGCTGACTTTTTACAGTCAGTTACAATAACTCGTATGCGTACTAGCTAGCATGACGGAGTTGCAAGATTACAGGCCGTGGCACTGACCTCCCACATCATGAAGATCCTGGAAAGACTCATCCTTGACCAGCGCGACCTCATAGTCAGACCACATCTGGATCCCCTTCAGTTGCTATCAGCCTCGTCGAGCTGAGGACCCATCATCTACCTCTCAGTCGTGTCTACACCCATCTGGACCAGCCGGCGAGCACTGTGAGGGTCATGTTTTTCTGACTTTTCCAGTGCATTTCAAACCATCAGGCCGACCTCTCCTGGGTGATAAGCTTAGCAGCGATGTCAGGTGGATGTGTCTCTGGTGTCCTGGATTGTTGATTACTAACAGGAAAGACCACAATTGTACGTCACCACAGTGTGTGTCTACAGTGATGCAACACAGGGGCACCACAGGGGACAGTCCTCCCCCTTCCTCTTCACCTCTACACCACAGACTTCAGCCACTGCACAGAGACCTAGCATCTTCAGAAGTTTTCTGATGACTCTGCGGTGGTTGGATGCATCAGCAGGGATGATGAGACAGAGTACCGGGCTGTGGTCGACTCCTTTGTCACGTGGTGTGAGCAGAATCATCTGCAGCTCAACGTGGCAAAGACCAAGGAACTGATCGTGGACTTCAGGAAGACCAGGAAACACTTGACCCCTGTTTCAATCCAGGGGGTCAGTGTTGACATTGTGGAGGACTATAAATACCTTGGAGTTCACATTGACAATAAACTGGACTGGGCTAAAAACACCACAGCACTTTACAGGAAGGGCCAGAGTCGTCTCTATTTTTTGAGGCGACTGAGGTCCTTCAACATCTGCCAGAAAATGCTGAGGATTTTCTATGAGTCTGTTGTGGCCAGTGCGATCCTCTATGCTGTTGCATGCTGGGGGAGCAGGCTGAGGGTCGCAGATGCCAACAGACTCAATAAACTATCCGTAAGGCCAGCAATGTTGTGGGGATGGAGCTGGACTCCCTCAAGGTGGTGTCGGAGAGGCGGATGTTGTCCAAAGATAAAGACAATGTTGGATAACACCTCCCACCCACTCCATGACATGCTGGTCAGTCACAGGAGCACGTTCACGTTCAGTACGCATATGTATCGAACAATACAACATTTGATTTCAATTCTTCTGACAGCGTCTTTTGAGTCTGAATCGTGTTGATATGCCTTGCGTCGCGCACTGACGCTCCGCTAGTCAGAAGAGCAGAACTGCGCGGTAGCTTCTTAGCAGGCAATTGATCTCATCGTGGAAATTTTGTTATGTACGTGCCCTAGTAGAGTCGACTAAACAGAGTGCACCTGCTCAATCATGTGTACAGTGTTAGCGCTTAGCGACTGTTGCCGTCTAGCATGCCGAGCATCGCGGATCGTCGGAATGCCGGTGTCGAAGGTCATCCAGATCTGACGTGAAACAACGAATACGCACATTACGACATTAGTCAAAGAAAACACAAGATGTATTAGCGAGCTTAGACAGGAGACTATCTTAGCTAATAGCCCGAGAGCGTAGTAAGCTTTGAACATTTCCGAACTCTCTTTCCAAAGATGAGTGTTCATCTAAGGCGCAATATCGTAGCCCGAGCCGAGAGCGATTTATCGGCAAAATTATTTCCCTGCCCTCGGCTATGAAAATTCAAGCTTGCATTCTCATGTACGTATTATTCATTGCATCGTGGCCGTCTTGTGACATTTGAAGTGCTTGATTTGCTTGTTTTGTTCATTGTGTGACGTATAGAACGCACTGACGTGAGATGAAATGGACAATCTTGAATGCTTTTACTGCCTGCAACAGACAGTAATCCCAGCGTTAACTAGAGTGATCCGAATCGCTGCTGTGAGGCGTGTAAAAGCATTTCAGTTCTGCTGAGCCAAATAAGACAGGTCAGGGTGAAGAAGTGACAGCCAAAGAAAAGCTTACCACAAAACGGAGAAGTTATGACAAATCAGACTATAAGGCAAAAAGAAAGTGCAGCTTTATGGTTTCATGGACAAAAGAATTTCTGTGGCTGCAATATGAGAGCTAAATAACCAGGGCTGCACATAAGTGGTCCGCAGGTGCGCATTCGCTGTCAAAATAAAAAACACGCACAAGGGTTAGGGTTAAATTTAAAAACTGTACTTTTGAGTTAAAATATATATTTATAATTTTAATAAATGACAAATTAAAAAGCATGAACATTTTTTTGTATCGAAAAAATATCGAACCGTGACACCAAAGTATCGACCGAACCGAACCGTGAATTTTGTGTATCGTTGCACCCTAATATATATATATATATAATTATTATAGATATATATATATATATTATATTGTTATTCTGTACGTATTTTTCGTTAATTGGTTATGAACGTCAAAAAAACATTTCCCGGGACTCAGTATTCTAGATTGACGAGTTTCTATACAGCTGGGTGGGTGCTATGATGTTACGAGTGAACTTTATTTTGTTCATAAGGTTATTAGTAGAGTTGCCAACCGTCCCCTAACAAACGGAATCGTCTCGTATTCAGAGAAAATATTACGCGTTTCGATGAGGTGAAAAGGAACAGTTTGTCCCGAGATTCAGCTAGAATGAAAAAGACACAAAGCTGCGAGTTATTCGTGTCTTTGCTGCACAGCTGCCCTTCTTCTCTCATTCTCTCCCCTCCCTCTCCTGTCTACTTCAATCATGAAACTGATCAATGATCAGCTGATCGGCTCTCTTGTTTGTTTATCGCCACTTTGCGCCAGAAAGAGGAAACCAGCGGATGTCGCGTAAACAACAGCAGCACGTTTAAGCTTGATCAGCTGTTGTTAGAATTTATTTAATATTAATTTCTAGTATCAGCTGATGTTTGCTGGAGCCACAGCTGTAAAGCTGCTGGTCATGATAGTGGTTTGGTATCTGGTGAGAGGGAAACATGAAGATGAAACCAGGAGATGTCCTTACTGAATCATCAGAGCTGAACAGGTGATGGAGAAACAGGTTTACCTTTTAGGTGACATGAATGAGTTGAAGGGAAGTTATGAACTGTTTCTGAGAGACAAATAACACCAGGATCCTTTTTTAGGTAGCTGACAGCTGGTAACTGTGCAGGGGCGGGTCTAGCAAAGTGTTGCCAGGGGGCGCAGGTAGGGCATTAACAGGGAGAGGGGGGCACAAAGAAATACTTTTCTTTCTTATTCTCATTTAAAATGTCTATCTTTTAAAAAATAATTATCTGAATCTTACAACCAAAGTTTTTATCTGATGTAAAATGTATAGAAATCAATATATACCAACACACTGTCATTGTTTTCATTCAAGGCTTTATGGCTTTAATACCGTGGGCGATCGGTCTCTAGTCAAAATGCCCGGGCTGTTTTTTGTCCCAGTCCAGCCCTGGGCAGACACGCAGTGACATTAATCTGAGAAGGTCGCATTAAAAAATCAAATGGCCGCACCAGCGGTGCACATCGCAAATTAGCTCGCATAGACACATTAGTTGTGCGCTTCTTAATGACGGTATCTTAGCTAACAACCCCAACTACCAGATTCAACTTGTAATTGGCTAAAAATAACTTCGCCTACTCGGTGAGAGGGACGTTGCTAGCTGGCAGTTTTTTCAAGCGAATGTTGAAATTTCACATTCCAACACTTCAAAATGCTTCAGCAGCTGTTCGCTCAGCGCAGCATCAGCACCGTCGGAAATACACGGATACAGTGGGGCAAAAAAGTATTTGTCAGCCAGATGTGAGTTCCCACTAAAATGATTAGGGGGCTGAATAATTACCACACCCCACTTTGCAGTTATTTATTTGTAAAAAAAATGTTTGGAATCATGTATGATTTTCGTTCCACTTCTCACGTGTGCACCACTTTGTGTTGGTCTTTCACGTGGAATTCCAATAAAATTGATTCATGTTTGTGGCTGTAATGTGACAAAATGTGGAAAAGTTCAAGGGGGCCGAATACTTTTGCAAGCCACTGTATTTACTGAGAATATTAGTGACATGTTTAATACTTATTTTAACCGCTGTGTATAATACTTGAGTTAGCAAGTAACGATGTACAAAAACTTTGTTACTGTAGGCCTACTTATGTACAGTTTTCAGGCATCTGTACTTCACTTGAGTAGTTTTTTTCTGACCACTCTTTACTTTCTATTCCTTACATTTTTAAAACAGGCTCATTACTTTTGCTTTAACAAATTTGAG